CGATCCCAATACGAAGTTCGCGAACATCAGGGATATCCATCGGGCTCAAATCGAAGCGGGTGAAAAGGAGGTTATCACGGCTGAATCCAGCGACTCTGAATGCCCTAGTGAGGCTGGCAGCTGTATTGTAGTGGGTGTGGTTGAGGATCAATAGTTAATAGTAATGAGGAGGTTGGGTTGTGATCCCATCGTTTTTGTGGTGCCAGAAACAGGGGGGTGCCAGGAAGTGGGTATGTTGACTTACAGTCCATCGAGGCTCGCGATGCCCTCATCACCAAGGGTAAAGTAGGAATCATCATGATTAAGATTGCTGTAAGCTGACTACGCCAGACGTTATTGCTGCAGGCAAGGCCGATGCCCCCGTGGAGAACTCTCTCCAAGCCAGAGGTACGCATCCTATCCTCATTACCTAGGAAGCCATATTAACACGCTTCTCAGTCTGGCCTGCCTCTCACCAGAGCGACCACTTCAGGGCCGGAAACGGTTGGGCCAACAGAGTCAGGACTCGCATCATCGTCAGCGGAGTTCATCTCGTGGTCACTGCCTGGTTCAACGACATCCACACCATGTTTGTGCAATTTGAGCCGGATTTCCCCAGTGGTGCGTTCACACACTTAATGAAGTCTGAATTTGAAGAGCCGGAACTGACAAGTAGCAAAGCTCCCAACTTCTTGATGGCTGGTCTTGAGGATCTCGCTACCGGCTTTCTCCGACAGCCTTGGAGAATCGCCTGGGATAGCATCTACAGCCTCACTACTAGGGGCGGTGAGACCTTGCAGTTCGACAACCAGTTTGTCATGTGGTGGAAGTGAGCCCATCTTCAGGATATCAACACTTGACCGAGCCGAAGCATCAATCCGTTTCATTCGTCTTTCTCGTAGGAGGCATCGGTTGTGGTGTTATATGCACCGTCGAGTCGGCGATGAGGATGAAGATAATGGTAGTCATTTGGCCTGGTCAGTGAAATTGGGCGTGCTCGAACATGTTGCTTCTGGCTTTTTTCTCTTATCTTTTTCTTCCTGATCAGCCACCCTTAGGAGGTGTTTGGCACTGGTCGCTCCAGGGGTCGGGTTGACCTCAGTCCCTAGTTCACGACACACTGGACTTCCGGATGCCATTGCCAGCTAGGGTCTTTTCTATTCAATAACATCATTCTTGCAGCCATGAAGTAAGAAGCACTGGTGCTAGAAAATTGCGAATGTTCACGAAATAAATTAGTGAGAACAGGTTTAGTTTTGAGAAGTTCGAAAGATTTGACCGTTAACGCAGCGATTCCCCCCTTGCCCACTGCTCGTCAGTATGCCCACGCACTGCCTTGAGGTACTTGTTGAAAGTAGCAGAAGTCTTGATAACTTGGCTGAGATGCTCCCAGTCCAATCGCTCCTTGCGATCCTTCGCTAGCTGTCGCGCAGTGAGCAGCGCATTCCGGATTTGTCTGCCGTTCATCTCTTCTGATGCCAACTGGTCGAGTCTTCTTTCTAGTTCCGGCATGTTGGCATCTTCCTCGACTGATTCCTCAATCATGTCGAAAAAATTCTGCCAAATCGCTTTACGTGACATCTTGGTCAGATTGTCGTAGTGAATCGCCACCTGGATACGAGATTTGAATGCCTCGTCGAAGGATCCAACGCGATTGGACGTCAAGATGAGAATGCCTTCGTAGTATTCGAGGAGCCGTAGGAAGACTGGATTGAGTAAGCTATGCATTCCAGTATCGAAGCCAAGAAATAATACGTACCGGACACTAGGCTGTTTCGCTGCAAGTCTGCCATAGTTCTCTCTTCTAAGAAAACGTCCGCTTCATCCAGCAGAAGAACTATCCGAATGTTAGTTTCCATTGAAATCCTTTGTTTGCTGCTTCGAATTAAGAGAAACAAACCGCAATCCCAAGCTTTGCCTAAGTACATAACTGTCTCGAGATATTTTTCCACATCACGCGCCTGAGTACCTATGTCTCCGCAAGTTACTCGGTACAACGGCTTTTCTGCGATTTCTGCAACACTGCATAGAGTCTCAGCTCATTTCCTGGTATTCGGATAATACGTCATCATAACTTACCTTTCTGCGGTCAATGTTTTTCCAGTCCCCGGACTTCCATGAAGGAGTATAATCAGGCCATTGCCCTTTCCAGTGATGATATCGTCCATCTTCTTTGCCGAGGTCTGAACATTGACGAGTGCATGGATCATCTCCTTGATCTTCTTATCCAAAACGAGGCGCTGGAAGGCTTTGTGGTTCCAATCTACTGGATGAGTATTTTCGACGTTCAAACTAACTGCAACAAGAAAGCGTCAGTATCATTTCAAAGTGACCAATACTTCAATCTCTGGTCTCACCCCATTTTTTTTGTTGGAGATTGAACCCATGCACAATGGCAGGCATCAGCATTTCGGCTTTGTGCGGTAAGTCCTCTCGACGGTTGACTTTCATGGGCCACGGATCATATTGGCGTGGTGTCTCATATGACGAGGATGTCGAGACGGTATGCATCATGTGATACGTTGCCGTATCCACCATGAACCTTGCAGATGCCTGGCGTTAGGTTAGCCTCTTTTCCAAGTGGTCAATCTTAATAGAGTGTTTGCCAACATAATGATGTTTTGACCCGCTGTCCCACCCTGTGTAGCAAGTGTATGCTTGATCTCTCATGCTCCAGAACTTGTTTCCCCTTTGGGTTAACATTTTGACGTCTGCTTCTCTGGCAAACTCGACTGGGTGAACGGAGAGGTCACGAATGTCCGCCCTTTCCTCAGCTACAGACCTGATCAGCCCGGATTCATTCGTTCGCTTCAAGTCATTGCCGTCGTATTGCCATTTCCATCCTTTAAGCGTGATATCATCCCTGGTCGCCTGGCTGTAATCGTTGAGTACAAATGCGAGTGAGTGATCCCCTCTATCTTTTTTAAGAAGCAGTTGATTCGGCTTGAACAACTTGTGGATATGGCGAGCGTTGACATGTCCCTGGGCAAACATCTGTTCAGCCTCGACATATTCGGCCTCGTAACTTTCTTCGAGAAAGTTCATTAGAGGCAAAAGCACTTCTTGGTATGGTTCGGTCTCTGCTAATGTTGCTAGCCTTTTTCGATGGTGGAACAAGAATAGGTATGGGGCTTCCATTTCTATAGCAGCCTCATAATATTTAGACTCAGGGTAGATTTGAAACTCCGCAACCTTCTGCAAGGCTTTCTGGAGTATAGGTGACACTACTCTGAGACTCTCTAGTCTGGAAGAAGGATTGACACTATGATTTTGCATCTCATGTCTCTGGTTGTCATTTCTTTGGTTTGGAGAGCAACAGTGCTCCCTGATGACAACGAAGCAGAGCGACGGTCGCTTGTCTGCCCACGTTTCGAGGTTGTTGATCTCCCTCTTAGCCTCAAGCCGATCTGTATCGCCAGCAGACTTGGTCTTTCGAGCCACTGGTTCATCTTCAGACAGCTTTCCGGAGTGGTGATGATCCTCGACTGTGCAGAAGAGTCGATGAACAGTCTGAAAATAGGGGGGCTGACTGACAGCTACGTCTACACTTCCCGAGTCACTGTCAGAGTCACTGTCGGAGCTGTCGGCAGCGCGGAACCGTGCTTGGCTCTGCAAAATCTCGATTGTGTCAAGAAGGTAGGACACGAAGGTGGATACCTCTCTACCCTGATCCAAAATGTCGACGCCGAGGTACCTTTCTGTAATCAAGGCAAGAGACTCGGCGAGGCTGACATCGTGGCCGGAGTCTTGTTGTTCTTTGATTGTCTTTGTCTGAAGATCCATTTCTTTTCTCTCCTCATTGCCATGGAGATTACTGTGAACGTTCACCTGCTCGATGTTTCGCGCATCAATATCTTCCCGACGTGCTTCTGTAGATGGCTGTCTTTGAGCCTGCAGTTTCCTCCGCCATTTTGAGTTCTTCGAGGCCTTGAATGATGCAAAAGGAGACGTCTCGGGAAATTGAGGTAGACGACGGCGTTTGTTACGCTGAGAAGCACCGGGATAGGGCATTGGGAATGATCGCGGCGGCGATGGCAGTGGCAGCGGCGGCATCCGAGAACGTGCGAAAATATCGGACTGCACAGACTGGCCCAAGGTGAAAGAACGAGGCGGAGTTAGGTCTGGCAAAGACGGGTGTGGAATGGCGCGAGAGGCGTCTGAAAGTGGGCGTTGGATATACTGTGATGGGAGAACTTGTGCGTCTTTAGAATTGCTGAGTTGAAGGTCTAGAGCTGTCATAAGCACCACGAAGATTGCAAAGAAAGAGTTAATCCAGCTTACTATCGTGGTTCGAATGAAACTTGAGGTGTGATAACTTTTCGCGTTCTTGCTCGGCTTGGCTCTGGGTATCGTCCCGTGAAATAGTTGAGCTGAGGAACAGAGGTGCCACATCCTGCTCATTGTTCTTTGATCCACTCTTTCGATCATAAATGTCTTCTGATACACTGCTATCACTGTTTGAGGCTGATCTGGAAGACGTGTAACCGTCCTGGCGTCGCTTGAAAGGGGTTGCATTCGATTGGTGTTGGCTGGGCCCTCCCCTTGTTGGAACCTGTGATAGATTGATAACACCCGGGGGAAGTGGGGAAGTGACATGGCTCATGAGTGGCGAGTTGAACATGATATAAACAGAACAAAGAAGAATAGAAAGCAGTGGAAGCACTTCATCCGTACTGGGTGCCCGTGGCCAGTTGATGTTTCTTCGAAAAGGATCGGGACAATGGGTTGAAGACTCACATCTGCGAGATCGATCAGGCTGGAAGGCAAGCTTCCCCTCATTTTGTCACACGTGATTTCGTCAGATGACTGCCTCAACTTGTGCGAGACCTGCAGACTGAGATAAGGGGTTACAACATGTCGTCTTGCTCTTACGCCGATCCAATGAGATGTCGCTGCAGCACAGTGCTGGGTGCCCTTAGAGTAAGCGATGCCTCTTCGGCCGCGAAAGGTCTCACAAAGTCTCCTCGACCTGGCTCAATGTTTTTACTTCCACTTTGGATATCGATGATCAATTGAGCTGATCTTCTGTTCTAAGTCATGGAAGATCACAGTCTGTATTTGGCGTCATCTAAGGTAATCGAAGATCTCAACTTGTCGCTAAAGTTCTGATGTTTTCTCCTGAACGCAGCTCTGAACCTGGCTTGTTTCATCAACCGCTCAATCTTGCGCCCTCTATCAGTGAACACATGCCTATCTTCAGAAAGTGCTTCGGCATCTATGGGCGTATTTGCACCAAACCTCCATGATACGATGATGATTTTGATAATTCCTTCTTTTGACTGTGACTTGCGCCCGATCCATTCCATGAAGTCACCGAGCTTGAAATATTGTTCCTCAGCTTCTGGTTTCTCGAAAGCAGCCTCAATAGCGTTCATGTCCAAAATAATGAATAGCCGCTTAAGAGTTGAGAGGCACCGATCAAGTATATTGAGCCACTGGCCAATGCTGACAGCGGACTTGAAGTGTTTAGGTGTGAGAGGGTTGATGCCTTCGCTTACCATAGTATCATTCAGTGCCAGAGCCTGTGAGATGAGGGATCGAATAATGCCTGAGACCGACGGTAGTAGGCTATCATTGTCATGCTCAATGACGATTGAAGACAAAGCCCAGATGACGGGGTATCCTTGCTCAAGCACTATATCGAGGAAATCAGCCGCGAAATCGAGCGAACTTGTCTTCACCCCTTGCCCTTCCGCGAGTAAGAGAGAGGACGAGGGATCAGAGGTCCAGGCTTCAAGTTTGTGTAGCTCTGATAGGGGTAGTTGTGTGGGCGCTTTCTGTCTACGTCGATTGCGCATCGATCGGCACCATGCCAGGCTGTCATCTGCCACTGCCGTATCCTCCAGTAGTGAGACTGTCCTGATGTCCTCAAGTTGGCTGGCTCTGAACATTTTCTTATGTTCTTCTTTCAACGCCAGTAGTGACTGGGTCTGGAGAGACTGCTGCTGCTGCATGACTTTGAACTAGGTAGTTAGAATCAACTCTAGAGAACCAACTGACCATGTCATGCCCTGAACTTACAAGAAACCATCTCTGTCAACTGCAATATGGTCTTATTCTGCCTGTGAATATTGACATGTAGGTCTCGGATCTCAGCCTTGACCGCAGCGCTAGCCAGCTCATCCACATGTTTGGAGCGCTCTGCGATTTCCTCGACGATAGGTTTGAACCCCAGACTGAATGGCTTGATAATGGCCGTGAAGGAGTGAGACAATTTGCCTTTCTTGTACCACTTGATCGCCATCAATGCGAATTCTATTATCTTTGCGTATAGCTGTGATACAGCGTCCTGCATCCGTGGCGTGGGATAAAGCACAGAGTGTAGCTCGGTTCTAGGCAGCACGAGTGCGATTCGAGACACCGCCTTCGATATCTCTACAAGGAGCTCTTCATGATTGAGGACAGCCTATGTAAGTTTGATTAACATGACGCTAAGATGACTGAAGCGATGCGATGATGCTCACAACGAACAGGAACTTCAACGCGCCCCAGCCCAAAGACACGTATTCAGGGTGATGTTGTGAGAAGGTGTCAAATATCGCTTAACAGTAAATCAAGAATTAGTGCATGCTCTTGCTTTACGAAATTGACGACTCGTTTCCCACAGCTTACCTCCATAGAACATGATTCTGGATGAGCAGGTCGTCAAGACAGACTGAATTTTGGATCCTTTGGCCTTCGCCTGGTACTCCTGCCGGGCAGACTCGACCGCAGACTGCACATCACTCATGGAGTGCTGACTTCGGAGCCGTAACTGTTGATACTCTTCATCTGTAAGCTCTTTTCGCAAGATTGCGATAGCGTTGTCGTATGCATTCTTCGCGGGATCGGACCATCTAGCAGTATCACGGTCAGCCGAAAGATCCGTAGACTGTCTACTATTTACACAAGGGAGATATCTGACCTCTGCTGTGGGTCGCTGATGTACCACCGTGAAATCAAACTCCCGTCGTGACTATCAGCAACTACACCGGGAAGCTGAGAGACTGCTGGGTAGCTCAAGTTCTCGTATGGCGCAAGATTGGAGGTAATGGCGGAGGCCTGGAGTATGGCTTCTAGGCCCCGTTGCTGTGACGGTGCTTGCATGAAGCTCATCACATAAGTCAACATACCCACTTCCTGGCACCCCCCTGTTTCTGGCACCACAAAAACGATGGGATCACAACCCAACCTCCTCATTACTATTAACTATTGATCCTCAACCACACCCACTACAATACAGCTGCCAGCCTCACTAGGGCATTCAGAGTCGCTGGATTCAGCCGTGATAACCTCCTTTTCACCCGCTTCGATTTGAGCCCGATGGATATCCCTGATGTTCGCGAACTTCGTATTGGGATCG